TAATTCTATAAATAGGGTCTTCTACATTGTAATATTAACAAGACAATATAATACAATTTATATTTCTTGACATTTAGAACACTCATAAAGACTAACAACAAAAGCAACAAAAGAAGAGATGAAGATAATAACTGAAATGATTCTTTTCAAATGACAGTAGAAAATTTATGTTCCCAAATCAATGGGCAGGCAACATGTACTGAGCAGATTGCATAAGAATAGAAATGTACAAATGAAAGAAAAAATTAATTAGGTAAAAGTCTCAATACGCTGAGGTGCTTCCTTAATTATTAATAGAAAACTGCTTCGTTAATCATTTTTAGCATACCACCAACCCCAAGCTCACATCACAAGCATACATTAAATGATGCAAACAAAGTGAAATTGAAGTTGTGGATAATTCTTTTGGCCTAAAAAACAAAAGCTAACCTCAAATGGATGCAATAACATTGGAGACCAGCCCAACAACCTCAACCATAAGAATATTAGAGTGTTTCTCGAGATGTAGGCAAGCTTAAAATCCAAGAAGAGTTTATGACAATATAGAATTCACAGGAAGATTCTAAGGACTGAGGTATAACACTTCTTACAAGAACAAAGCTTCACAACACATTTCTTGCAGCTGAATATAGAAGAAATGTTGTAAAGCAGCAATAGGACTGGGATGTAAGCCTAGAATTCATCTCTATTTATCAGCTAGTTGAAATTTATAAGTTCGGTTTCATCCCAGGCAGATGTAATAGCCATCTGCTGGCTAAATTTTTGGTTTATCATCTCTTTGCATTAACATTTTCTTCATAAATCCTTTTTGCTCCAATCTGATTTCTCACTTCCAGAATCCTAAAATTATAACAATTGAATAGAAGAAAAAATATGGTAGAAACTCTTTTTTAAAGAAGAAAGTAAACTTCGATCTCTTTATCAAATAATTTATTACTATTCAAGAGATAAAACAAAGACCAGACCTATGACCTATCCATTAAAAATTCGTACATCATTAGTTTTTGTATTCAGATTACAAGTATTTCAGCCCAAGATATTCAATTATTTCACTGGTATGCACTAGAATCATGGGAAACAGGGACCAAAGAGTAGAAAGGAGAATAAAGATCTACAAGCACACGTATAGAGATGCTAGACTAGGATGCAGATAAGGGAGGCATGTGAAGAAAAGGATCTTTTAATACGCTTCCTATCAACATTACCAGTAAATGATAGTTTTTACCAATGAGTAAAATGGCTCAATCGGGTACTCAGGAGTTCTATCTCCATGAGGTGAGGCGAAAGCCTCGTTACAAACCTTTAAAATAAAAGAAAAGAATATAAAACTATACAAGCATGCTTATGTTAAACTATTTATCATCTTGAAAATTTATAATAAACAAAATTAATAGCTTAACTTAAAAAATATATATTAAATAGATTAATAAAGTAGCGAATAATAAGTTTTCAAATTAATAATAGCATAACAAAATCATAATCTGCACTAGAAGTAGAGACAATCAACAAACCCCCTCTATTATCAAAAGTAATATAATCCTGAAAAGGATCATTTATTTGATACTCCATTCATCCTCCATCACTATCATTTTTTTCTCATTCTTTCTTACGAGTCTCGACTCGAAATGTTGCGTTATCCTATTCCTTTGCCTTCTCCATCCTTGTAAAGGTATAAAAATAAAATTAAAGCACCCATAAAATACTATAGGCTATAAAGAAGATAGATCAAAAACTTGATGCCAGTAATAAATGCTCAAAAAAGGAAAACAAAAGTGAGCACACACCTCAGCAGCCCTGAGTAAGCCTCAATGGCACTCAAGGGGCAAGATTTGAGGTGTTTTATGATAGCCTCAAGTGAGGCGGGTTTCGAGGCGCAAGTCTGAAAAAGCTTTATTAACAATGGTTTTTACATTCTAAAAATAGAGTGAACACTCTTAGCTCATGATTGGTTTAGCTATAAAAGTTTGATAACAATCTAAGTCAAAGTCAATAATTAATTTTAAATACACGTCTTCTGGGATAAAAAACTTTTATCAACTTTTCAACCACGCATTTATCAACTTTTATCAAAATCAACTAAAAATCTGATTTTTAACAAAACCATACGAGGGTTTATAAAATCTAGACTAGTTGCCAATAAGCATGGCATTATTGACTATTAGGCATAAAATGAAGACTTAAAAGATAAGCATCCCAAAGAACTACTATGACTTATCGAAATTGATAAAAAGTTTAAGTTGATGAAGAATAGCTGTATAAACAAGAATGTATTATAAATTTGCAGAGGTGATTGAACCTGCCAAATCAGTTGCTCCCCTTGTATTTGCTGACTTTTTCGCCGACTGATTTTTTCCATGGCAGCCTTGGTAGGTGGAAGTGGCTCAGGTTGCTCAAAAAGCCCTTCATCGGTAGCGATACTGCAATTACTGCTTGATCTTGAAAATGCATTCGCGCCCTTGGGCTTTTGGGAAATGTATTCTCCAAGATGGGTATCGACACGCCTTTGCAAACCTGGAGGTAAGATCACCTAAAAATTTCTAAAGCATCTTAATCACATGATTGAGAACGTGTTAGAAAAAAATTAAACTGTGAGCGAGCATGGGGAGTTTCAGGGGTTACCAAAATTGAAAAAGAGAAGTAAAGTTTCAAAACAATAATAGGATAAAATACCCTTCAACCAATAAAGTCACAAATGTTGAGTAGTTGGAATAACTAAAGGTGAAGAATCACTGTGAACAAAGTCGATGGAAAAGTACACAAATTCAGAAGATAAACAAAAAGTGCATGATGCAGCATGAGAAAATACCTCCCTCTGTGGACGCTTTTCGTCAAGATCAAATCGATAGTTCGGCAATGGAACCTTACTGACAACTACCACTTTTGTGTACAGATGGCTGCAAAAAACTTTATTAAAACATACCTCAAAAGAATATTTTGAAAGAATCAAGTGAAACATACCTATATAAACCCATTCTGCTGGCTAAAGCTGCAATTTGACCATAATTGCGCCTATCCCTTTTATCTCTTGATACTAATTCTTGCTTATCCTTATTGTGTAAAAGAGTAGTTAACTTCCATTTCCAGCCATCAACATCATCCAAGGTGGAAGCACCCTAAATCAGAAACAACAACTTCAAAAAGGAAAATCGGAGATTGGGTATGCACATTACAGTTGGACTACAATAATAAACAGCTGCCAAATCCAAACCTAAAGACAAAATAAATGCGAGATACAACAATACATCATGTTTCATATAAGCAGATAATCACGCCAAATTACTAAGCATGTTGTTGTGGATATTTATGCATATATCAATGTCTCCACTCTCGATTCACACGTGGTCCCCATGTGTAAATTTTAGAATCATCATGAAATATCAAAGTAGTAAATTTTGCTGCAGGAATAGCATTTTCATTATTTTTAACAGGTTATATGCTTCTGTAATTTTACTTAAAAACTACTGACCAATTGCACTTCCTCGACATGAAGAATCCATCCTGCTCAGTTCATAGTTATAAACCACCCCGTACACCGAAGTGTGCTAGAAACCCTCAAACAACCAAATTGCCATTGATCATATTCCAGACAACGAACAATGAAATCAAATAACTCTTGTCCTGATCAAATCCATGCAGTTTTCAATCATAAATTCACAATTATATCTACATTGTGTAACTGTCATAAAAAATTACAAGAAACTTGATTAACAATCGCCCATACACTGAGTAGACCCAAAAAATATACTCATAACAAAGATATCACTTTTTGCACATAAAACTCACTGGATGTGCCAAAAACTCGATTTCATAATCGGCAACTGCCTCTGACACCTTATAATGCAGTGATTTTTTCTCCTGTAACTGTTGCTTATAATGATGGGGTGGCAAGAAAGGGTAAGGATTGTTAGAATTCTTATTATTATCTTTCCTATCGTTAACTACGAAAAGAGGAAATGAGCTCTTGTTGTGAATATTATTATTAGTACTTAAAGTTGTAGAGACGGAATCCTTAATGGGGGAGAAGGTGGCGGATGGTGTAGTGATGACAGAGCGGAGGCGGTGATGAGGCGGCAGATAAAGTGGGCCGAGTGACGTCGATTTCGACGTCGACGGCGGCGGCCGGTCCTTCATTTTGAATTGTATGCGATGTGGTGGAGAAATGGAGGAAAAGGGATTTAGGGATTTGGAGTAGAAATTAGAAGAGATGAATTGGAGAGAAGAGTACATGCAACTGGAACTGGAATGGACGGAGAAGGATGGGAAAAAAAAATGTTGGGCCGGGTTTTCGCCGGCGGAGGGTGATTGAAGCTGTAAGCGAACGTCTGAGTTGAAGGGAATGGAAACTAACGAGGGGAGAGGCCAGATGGGGAGCTTAAAAATTGGTAATCGTACACGTCATCCCTCAGTGGGCTCCACTAGAGGACCCTTATGTATTGAACACACAGGATATCCTATCGAAAGTCAATAGTAAACTAACCCAACAAAGGATCTGTTAGGAATTACGATACGGTAGAAACCTTGTCTTTTTATTGATTTCGATATTAAAAAAAATTGTTGTTTCTTTTTCCATTTGTAAGCTCTTCGTGTCTGGTTTACATTATTTTTAAAAGGGTAATTGACGCAAAACGTCACTACCTTTGACGAATTTTGTGCAAAACGTCCCTACCTTTCGTTTTTTGACGCATAACGTCACTACCTTTCACATTTTTTTACGTAGAACGTCATTTTTCTCAATTTTTGACCATTTTACCCTCCAATTTAAATAAAACAAAAAAAAATAAAGAATAAATTGCAATCTGTTTCTAAATTTTTTTAAAAATGCAAATCAGTCCAAAAAAGCTCTTCACTTCACATTCATTCTTGGGGATATTCAAGTATTTGCACACTCTCGGGCAAAGCTTTTGAAACGCAGGCAAAGGTGAATCTGAGTCCTTGAGCTTCTTCACAATGTGGGCAATTATTTTTGTCAAGTAGGTCGTGCAGGGATCTGAGTGCGCGGCTCAGAGAACAGCAAGGAGACGGAGGCTCTCCTTCTTCACGGCGGGTTTCGAATCATTGCCAGCGTCATAGAGGCAGTTGAGGAGCATCGAAACACCGTCATTTGATAGTGAATTTATAATTTTTTTTTCAAGGTCCTCCACAACTAATTGGTGGGTGTCGCGGCCTGAAAGTTTAGATAGAGAGTTGATGATTTTCTGCTTCAATTCAACCATGGCTAAATGGAATGATAAAGAAGATGAAGATGAAGCAGAAGATGATCTTGAAGGG